ATGGGATATTGGTGAGACATGGATGGGACATGGATGGGACACTGGTGAGACATGGATGGGACTTGCATGAGGCATGGATGGAGCAGGGACAACACTCAGTACACACTGAGGCTGGAAAAACTCTGCCTACACGTTCCATTGCTGGAAAGGGGTGAGAAGATCTTGGTTGTTTTTGTGTTTTTAGTGGAATGAATTATTCATCTCTGCCGCTGCTCAGCGCCGCTGCTTTACAATGGGAGAAGGGTTTTTTCCTGTTACTCTTTTCAAGTTTTTGTTACTTTTTCTCTCTTGTTTTGCGGAAGAAAGCGGAGGCAGCAGCATGAAGCACAAATTCCTCTGTTTGTTTTAAAACAGACCACATTTAGGTGTCAGGATGAAATAAAAGCTGCAATTTATGCCTCCCACCGTTTTCCAGAGGAGCCGGGCTCTGAGCGCTCCATGACTTTTGTCACCAATAAATTATTTCTGATGCCAAAAGCAAAGCTATGCCCAAATCCACATCGGACCAACCCGTGTCCTGCAGGGTTGTCCTTGCTCAGAGAGCATCTGGCTGAGCACCAGGCAGGGCAAGCTGATGCCTCCGGGCTGGAAAAGCATGTGAGGCACTGGGAAATATCACAGAGGGGAATTTCTGCACAAACTCACATTGGTGCTGGAAGCATCGGGCTGTAACACACTAGGAATTACCCTGGGCCTCCCAATTAAGCATGAGCTGGAATGACTCCTGCTTGTTCCTGGTTCTCAGATGAGCCACCAAGGTCCCCCGGGAGGTGGTGCTTTGGGATGGTTCTGGGAAGTGGCCCAGGGGCTGCTGTAGAATGGCTCCTGTCCACAATGAGGGCAGTGGGGATAAAAACAACTCCCCCGTCACCCCCAGTCCCCGACATCAAACCACAGCCCAGAGGAAAGGAAGAAGAGAAGGGAACAGTGAGCAGGAGGGACAAAACGCGTGCACCAAAAACGTGAGAGCTACAGTGAAAAGGAAACCATTTAATTCATCACAGCACGGAGTCCCTCTGCTGCTGTCTCAGAATGAGAAACCCCTGCTCTGCCTCCCAAGGGTGCCCCAGGGGCCGGTTTTGGACCCTGAGATGCCCCAAGGCCATGGGGAGCCCCCAGGAAGGGCTCAGCTCTCCCTGCATGTCCTATGGTTGAGGAATGGACTGGTTTTGAGCAGTTAACCATCAATTTATTGATTTGTTTTGCTGCTGTTCTCAAAGCATCGTTGTGAAAGACAGTCCCTGTGGCTGTCACGGTTTTTCATTGATATTCCATATCATAACATCCTGCAGTGAACTGTCAGAGCTGGGAGGGCTGTGTTTCCTGGTTCCTGAGAGCTGAAAGCTACAAATCCTATCAGCTCTGGTCATTCCCATGTAGTTTCCAGGAGGGGGGATGTGACATAAACAAGGACTTCCTTCTGACTGTGCCGCCATCCCACAGCATGGTCAGAAGCCCATGTCCCTCTCCCATTTGTTTATTACCCTTGATTCCTTTTATACTGTATCATCTCACATTCCTTTGCCAGTTCTCGTACATTAGTTTCTCTTTATCTCAATCAAACACCCCACCCCATCGTGGAACAAGAGATTCCAGTGTGGCCCAATGGCACCCAATGTGGGGCACAACGATTAGGATATCACTGCTGAACACCTATGGTGCACTGACAGATATTTTGGCAGATATTTAAGGGAGGAAGGCTGCAGCTCTCTGGAACCCCTCCCAGCTCTAACAGTTGTCATGATATGGAGTACCCATGAAAAACCATTCACGGTTGCATAGCAAAGGTTGAGATGTTGGCACAGCACGTGGGTCACTGGACTGCGTGTCCTGGGTGCTGGTTGTGATGGATTCTTGGGGAACTGCAGTCTCTCAGTGGTCAGAGTGCTGCATCCACACTGGTCCCGCAGCAGGAATGTGACAGTGGAAGGAGGATAGGCATCAACTGTGATGCATCATTATGGCGGAGTGAGCAGGAGAAGGAAGAGACATCCCAGGGACACCAGCACGCTGGTCTTGGTGGAGGTAGTGGCAGCAGAGGGCTCAGCTGGAGGTAGAGGGAGAAATGGGGCAGCAAGTTGGACCACCATAGGGCTCACAGCCCCACTTCTCCATCAGCCCAGGGGCTCCTCCACCTCCAACCCAGGGGAAAAGGGGCACCTCCCAGAGACCACCTCCAGCCTCACAGGGACCCCGTATCACTGCTGCTGGGCACTCCTTGAGCCAATGCTCTCTCCCACCCGTCCCACTCAATACCTTCCCAGGAGCAGGGATGCCTGTGGATCAGCCTAGAGCTGCTGGAGGAGACGGGGTTCTTGGCTACACAGGTGTAGACTTCCATCAAGGGGCTGAAGGTGAGGAACAGCTCACTGCCGTTATTTGATGCGATCCTCTTGGGAGGCAACCACTCGTAAGTGACATCCGTCAGCCCCACTGAACAATTCACGGTGACTCTGCAGCTCTCCGGGTTGCTCTCATCCACCACGAAATTTATGGTGGGTTTGGGGACCGCGTCTGCAGGAGATGGGGAGATGTCACAGCCACCCCATTCCCTGCGGGTTGCTAGGACCACCCCTCCAACTCACCATACACCTGCAGTTGGATGCTTTCAGGGTGCTCTGTGCCCTCACCATCCTCCATATACACCCAGTAGGTGTTGCTGTCGGTTTTCCTCAGGTGGTCCATCCTCAGGGTGTTGTTGGAGAAGAGTTTCAGGCGACCCTTGTAAGGGCCATTGGGATAGCGGACCTCTTCCCCACTCTCATGGATGGCAATTTTCAGGTCCTTGCCAAAGCGCCACTCAACTTTCTGGAAGGAGCCCTGGGTTCTGGGGATGAGGTAGGCCACCCCCCCCGCTAAGCCCTTTCACGTGTGTCTGGTCCTGCTGCGCCCATGCTGCTGGGAGAGCACAGAGCTGATCTACTGGGGCAGCTGGGACAGAAAGTCACAGCCCCCACCTCTTACCACTCCTTTACAGGCTCAAAACATCCTGATATTCAATTTCCCTTTTCCCTCTGCTCATTCCCCTCCCAGCTCACTCGCCTCCAGCATGATGGGACAGTGGGGTGTCCCATGGGGAGCGATCAGACTGCAGGATATCCCAGCAGATCACATCTGGGGCACAAAATGGGGACAGGAAGAGTAAAAGGAGAGCATGGGGTGGGGATGCGAGCCCCACACATCCTTCCTGCACACCACCATCGCCATCCCCACCAGCATGTTCCTCACCAGCACGTTCTGCAGCACCACGGCCCCAAATTAACGTGGACCCAACCTACATGGCCCCCGCTCAGCATCGCCCCGGAGGAACCCAGACGTACCTTTCACGAAGAAAACAAGAAGCTGCCCCGTGAGCACCACTGCCGCCTTCATTCCATGTTGGTGTCCAAAATCCACACCGAACATCTCAAACAACCCCCCCAGCAGCACCCCCCAGCTGCAGGTCTGACTTTTCCACCTACAGAAACATTTTCATGAAGCCATAGTGATCGCCAGCTACTATCACTAAAACTGAAAACCGAAAGCTGCCCGTTTTAACTTCTGCTCTGACGCTCTGCAGAGCACAGGCGTGCTCTACTTCCTCAGCCTAGTAGGAGTCACAAGGAGTCATCAGAGAGACCATCATAGAATCACCAAGGTTGGAAAAGACCTAAAAGATCACCCAGTCCAACCGTTCCCCCATTCCCAACAGCTCCCACTAAACCACGTCCCTCAACACAACATCCAGCCTTTCCTTGAACACCCCCAGGCTCAGTGACTCCACCTCCTTCCTGGGCATCCATTGCAGTGCCTGACCACCCTTTCTGAAAAGTAATGCTTCCTAATGTCCAGGAATGTCACTAACAAATGAGTTTTTTAGCTCGTTATCTTTCTGCACTGTTTGAAGCGGTTGGTCCTCACTGAGACCCCACTGACGATGAGCACCAGCACCTTAAGCCTATTTCCAAGGTAATGATTGATTCTGTTTGTGGGGGCAACGGGACACGGACGCGTGGCAGAGCTGCAGAGCTCTGAGCTGCTGATTTCCAACTCCAGCTCATATCCATCAGGGAAAAGAGCCAGTGCCTGCAGGAGAGGTTTCTCACCTCCCTGTCCCTCCTGCAAAATGAGGCAGCAGCCTCAGCCCCTTCTGTGTGTTCTGCCCTGGATTTCCACCCATGCCAGCACGGCACTGTGCCCCGACCCCATTCAGAGGTCCACCTCCTGCTGTTGAAACAGCAGTGAGTCGGTACTGACAGCACAGGAGAAGACTTTGCTCGCCCGAAGAAGCCCAAATCCCACGTGGATTTGCATTCGTTTGCATTTTGCCTTCCCCTACGTTGGGGCCAGAAGTACTTTGCTCCCTCCCACCTGGATGCCTCGAGGTGCGGATGATGGCACCAAGCAGCAGCACGGCTCTGCCTGAGCCCCAGTGAGCAGCGCCCACCCCCCGAATTTCGTGTTGTGACAGCAGCCCCCCAGCCCCCCCCACCTCTCTACCATAGCAGCCTCTTAGCACGCTCCCCATTAACGATCCCAATTAACGCTCCTTTCGCAGGGAGCAGACACAAAGGTATTTTGATGCGGGGGACTCAGACAGAAGGAAGCGGGCGGCGCCGTCGGGAGTGAGCTCCCATCAAAGAGACACGTTTAATTTTAATCCCAAATAAAAGCCTTGATCTCGCCTTTGGTGCGATTTTTTGAAGCCAGAGTCCCCTTTCTCTCCCCCCTCCCCTCCTCCCGGAGCCTCTCGTGCCGTCGGAGGGCGTCGGAGGAAGGAAGGACCGTTGGGTGCAGGGCTGAACCCCCAGCAGCAGTCAGGATAGGGGGTGGTTGTGGTGTTAGCAAAACCCAAGTCCAGATGTTTCCCATCCCCAATGAGTCCCCGAGCTGCAGAAGGGGGGGGAATCCAAGTGCCTGCAGGGCTCAGGAGTTTTGGAGGTCCGTGGGAGATGTGGATGAGCTCTGAGAGGAGGGGTAATGTCTCAAAGGTGCCGTCACCTGCAGGTAAGTGGGTGAGGGTCAGTACAACAGAAGCGTTTGCAGCCCTTCCTTGTGCGTGGTGTGAGGCTTCTGTCGGTCACCAAAAATCACTCAGAAAGTCACCCAAATTCCAGCACCAAGAAGCTCAAGAGTGTGGTATTTGGAGAGGAGATGTGCAGGGCTCTTCTGTCCGCTGCCCTGTGCCTGTTACCTCCATGTAGGCAGTGAAAACCAAAGCTCGGTCCAACTTCTTCCTCTTGAAGGAGGGGGACTGCAAAGCAGAGCGTGGATCTACCCTTAGGGATGGGGTAGGGGGCTGCTGCCCCACCAGAAGCCCTAGAAGCAGCTCCAGAGCTCAGGGGCTGTGAGCTCCCACAGGTGTCCTCAGAACTGATGAGGATTTGAGCTTCTCTGCTTCTGCAAAGGGGCCATAGCCGTAGCACAGAACACTCACCTTCATGCTGTGCTGAACAGTGGAGTAAATGGTGCAGCTTTCGGGCTTTTGAGGGCTTCTGGGCCTCTACCAGTGGGGAGCAGAGGAAATATGGAGTGAAAAGCAAATTATGGACGAAAACCCTACACCTCTGGGGCCACACAGCTCCCCTGGGATGGATCCCAGCACAGGGTCCCACCTGTCCTTTGGGGTTGACCACAGCGTAGACGGTGTTTCCCACCATGTGAGCCTCACTGTTCCCATTCTGCAGGAGAAAACAGCCCTAAACTGGTTAAAAGGACGCAGTCCAATCTGACAGCAGCTGCCCTGGAACCATGTGCTGCCCAGGGCTCAGCGTGGGGGGGGGGAACTCAACACTCACAGGCTCTTGACCGGTTTGGAGTTTGCCCACCTCCTCATAGACAGTCAGCGATGGCTCTGTGTGTTCTGGGGGAGCTGAGGGGGTCGGAGCTGGGGAAGAGAAGTTAGAGCTCACAGTCCCACACATCCCAGCAAAGCGAAGCAGGGGAGGAAGGCGCCCCTCGGCCGTGGGATAAGGGGCTGCTTCTCCAGCTCAGAATAGAGCAAATGGTGACCAAAATCCAAACAGTGCCCCAGACACCATGAGATGGACTCTCCTGTGCCAGCAGCAGCTTTGGGATGGAAATAGTCCCCCAGAGTAGGGTAGAACCGGGGGCTGGTGGCAGCACAGGGGGGGACTCAGGGGCACAAGGGGTGTCAGGAGGAGATGCGCAGCCAAATCCCCACTCCAAGTGGATCCAAACCTGCAGGGCGGTCCTTCCTCCTCCTCCTCCAGCACCAGTAGGTGGTGGAGCCAGCAATGCAGACAGCCAGCACCAGCAACACGGTCACTGCCCACCACGGCATGGCACCAAACAGCCCTGGGGAGGAATGAACGGAACGGGTGACATGAAAGCAGAGGGAGGACATTTGAAGATGATTCTACGACTCTACGATTTCCAAAGCACAGCTCCCATCATGGCCGGTGCATGGGGAAGAGACTTGGGCAGGGAAACCACAATATCCATTTGCACGCAGTTTCCAGCAGTAATGTTTCCCTTTTCAGTAGAAGGGCACATTTTCTCCCTGGTAGCAGCAAAGCAGCTTGGGGGGGGGCCCCGGGGGGGGACCCGCACACGCTGGGGGGCAGATGAAGGCCCCGAATTTGCAGCGATGCAACCCCAAACCAGGCTTTGGTGGAGCAGAGGACAGATCACCTGTCTGGCTGCAGGCTGTGGCTGTGTCGATGCTGGCCGTGCTCCAGCTGGCCGGGTTGCTCACATTGCAGACATAGAGCCCAGGCTGCACATCCTTGGGCACATCCAGCACGCTCTGGTTGCCCAGTGGCTCCCAGTCACGGGACCAGCTGTAGGACACGGCGGTGGCCTCAGGCATAGTGCAGGACAGCTGGAAGCTGCACCGCCCCTGCTCCTGCTGCAGCACGCGTGTCTCCAGGTGTGGGCTGCCCACAGGCTCTGCAGGGACAGAGAGGTTAGAGGGGATGGGGAGGGAGGAGGGCAGGAGGTCCAGGCACTCACCCCACACTGACACGTGGAAGCACTTGCTCGAAACGGACCCATTTGACTTTTCAATCTCTGAAAAATAGTTGCCGTTGTCTGCTTGGGTGACAGCACTGATCTGCAGGGAGAGGGGCTCCCGGTGGAAGATGGCTCTCCGAGAAAGAGAACTGTTTGAATATTCAACTTTATCCTTCCAAACCGTCAGGATGCGCTGCCGGGATTCTGCCCCCAGTTCCACTCTCCAAATAACAGTTATCCACTCCAGTGGCAGTGGTTCCTCCAGCAGCAGCTGCAGATGCGTACCGGTGAGCACTGCTGTGTCCCTGCACCCTTCAGCTCCTGTGGAAGGCATGAAGTGAGCACAGTGTCCCCATGCAGAGGGACAGTCTGGGATGGGGACCCCTGTGCTGCACCCCATGTGCTGCTGCTCCATCCCCTCTGGGCAGCACTTCTTGGTGCAGATGGCCTGCACTCTGGCCACATATTGCAGCCGCCCGTCCAACATCCCCTCTGCCCTGCTCAGAGAGCAGGCACTTTCAGGCCATACAGGAAGTGTCCACTTCTTCTTCATGCCCCATCTTCCTCCTCGCTGCTGCAGCCTGAATCTGACCCAAAGGACCCTTCCCTCCCAGAGAAGCTCTGCTCTGCTTTCCCCCTTCGCAAAGCAGCCATGGATGTCCGGGGCTCTGGCAGAGGCGAGATAAAAAGCCCTTGAAGCAAATACGAGCCAGCAGTCAGCAGGGCCTGGTGTGCACCACTTCCTCCATCTGCATGTTTGGGACAACATCGGACTCAGCAGCAGCCCAAAAGCAGTGCGTGCCTGGCCACCACAGCCCCAGCGAGCAGCAAAAGAGGTGTGAGGTGTGAGAGGTGGTGTTAACCACATTCGGGGGCTTGCATGCAGCTATTCTGAGCCCCTGCTCACTGCAGGCTGTGCTGCACAGCTTCCAGACAGCTGCACCCCACCTTGTGCAGCCCCGGGGATGCTTTGCACTGAGGTGGTGGTGGGGTTGGGGCTGGGAGGAGAGCAGGGGAGGAGGTGATGGGCAGTCGAAAGGGAGAGGTTGGAATGGAATGGGAGCTCTGGAGGTGTGCGCAGAGTCTGGGGGTGTCAGGGGGTTTCTCACAGCGCCGCCCTGCTGCCCTGCAGCACTGTCCCTGGGACTGGGGAGGAGAAACTCAGGCACAACCTTCTCCAAGGATTATTGCAGTCAGAAGGTCTGCGTTGCTGTGTGAGGGCTGGGGATGGCTCTACCTGGGCTGGTCGGGGCTGGGAGCAGAGCAAAGCCAACCCCCCAATCCATGCTCCATCTCCTAGGGTACCCCGAGCCCCTGTGAGCGCTCTGCCCACCCCACCGTCCTGCATGGCACGGCCCCAAGCCCCAACCAACTCCCCCCACCCCGTGCCCCCTCCTCACCTTGCCCGCTGCCTGCCACCCCCAGCACGATGCACAGCAGCGTCTCCACTGCATGCAATGCAACCCCGTGCTGCCGCATCTCCGAACCGTGCGAGCGAGCTGCCTGCAGCAGGAGACGGCGCTGGGAGACGGCGCCCAGCCATCAGCAACTTCCTCCCTCACACCCCCATGGGCGCGTGCTGCTGTGCAACACCCTCTGCGTCACCGCCTCCCCTCCGCCCCCCACGCCGTCCCCACGTCACCCAGCGGGAGGATGGAGCCATCCACGGCTCTGTGACCACAGGGGATCGATGCTCCTGCAGGGCTCGGTGCCTGTGCGTCTCCGAGGAAGCTCATTCTAAAGGCCCAAGGAGGTTCTCTGGGGGTTTTGCTTTCTTTTTGAGCCTCTGTTGTGGGAGGACTGGGTGTTACAACACGAGAGCACCACAACTGCAGCTCAGAGAGCGCCGAGCTGGCCCTGGCCACCTGAAACCCCTTATGGCATGAAGTGGGAGCTCTTTGGGGGGTTTTGTCTCATGCACTTCCCCGTGTTTTGCTGCACTTCCCACTCAGCACCACGCAGCGCAGCCGCCCAGCAGTGCTGGGGGAGAACAACTGCCATCAAGTGGTGCTGAATGCAGAGGACGCTGTTCCAAGGGACTGAAATTCTCCCTGCTGTGGGTGTTACTTCACTCGGGTCGTTAAGGAGTTGTTGTGAGAAAAGATGAGATTTATTTTTTAAGAGGAAGACACTTATGGAAAGACAGTGTGCTGCTCTTGTGGGGCTTTGGTGTGCTCTGCGGTCATGGGAAGGGGGAAGAAGCAAAGGCTAGGGCTGAGCTTCTCTTTGTCCATGGAAAAAAAAGCCATTCCCTTCCTATCAGCTGCATATAACAAGCATTTCTCAGGGGAAAAAAAAAAATAGCCCCGAAGTGGGTGTATTGGCAATCGCTCCTTCTCACCAGCCCGGGGCGCTGGAGGATGTGGGAGGTGTGGGAGGAACTGAGAGCTGCTTCCCAAATCGAGGGAACCAGAGCGCTGTGAGTGTGATGCTGAGCAGTGCGGTGACCTCAGCAGCACCAGCGCTGCATCCTCCCTCCATCCCGGCTGCGTGGGGAAGCTCAGCCCATCGCTGTGCGTCGTTGGAGGTCTCTTCTCATTGCTCCGTAACTCCAGATCTGCTGCGTCCAGACAAACTGAGCATGCAGTGATGTGTCGGGCCTTTATTGGGCTCCATAGATCCATCAGTAAATCGGCAGCGCTGGGAGATACTGATGAGATGAGGGCAGCTTTATTGCACTCTCGGCTTTTTTTTCTACCTGAGATTTCAAGGCTGCCCCAAACACTGCAGGCAGAGCCCCACGCAGCCCTACCAGCTCACCCCAGCAGTCCCCTATGGGTTTGGTGCACGTTGCTGGTGACACAGAGCCGAACACAAGGAGGACCCTGTTGCACACAGCCTTTCCTCTATGGGAGCACTGCATTAAGGGGCAGACAGGCAGCTCCTGAGCAAACCCTTGGGAAAACTACATGCGAGCATCCCCAGCTCAGCTCCATCTCCCCAGCGGTGAGAAGATCCCCACATCCTTAACACAGACAATGCATGAAGTCCTCCTTCCTCCTCCTCCACCACACCCCCTCCAGTGCCTCCACACCCCTATAGGACCCCAACAACTGAAACGATGCAGCCATCAGCATCAACCCCCTCTGCTCCACTTCTCCTTTCGGTGGGATGCAGCACAACCATGCTTATCATTCAGTGTTAATTGCCAGGCGCTCATTAGCTGCCACCGGGCCGATCCCTGCGTGTTCCTGCAGTGACGTGGAACCCGGACCCCAATCTCCCCCTTCCCCCCCTCTTTCCCCCCCCCCCCCGGCTCGAAAGCAGAGGAGCAAAAACTAATTAAGGCTACAAAGGAAACTCGGCGCTCGGCAAGGTTGAAAACCTCCATTCCAGAGCAGGGGCTGAGCCGCTTAATTAGCGCTTTTGTCTGCGGCCGAATTCAACATGTAGGGAACGATTTACATCAAGGGGACGCTCCCTTTGCTGTCGGAGCTCCTCGCAGCCTGCCCGGGGAGAGCTGAGCTGTAAGAAGGAGAACGAAGGAGGGGGGGAAAAGGGACAGGAATGAAAGGGAAGCGTTCGGCACGTCTCACGGACCGCGTTGAGGAGGAAGGGAAGATGCTGCATGCTCGAAGCACCGCATTGCAGAGGAGAAGGTGTTTTCATTCAGTGCATCATCCGTGGATTCTCATCCCCCCTCCAGCGAAATGTGGCCCCTGAGATGTGCAGGGGGCTCGAGGGGGGGGTGGATGGGACGGGTTTACGTGAAGGCGGCGCCGCTCGTGTGGTCACAGAGGGGATGGATACACGCGGCCAATGCCACCCCCGATGGGACAGCGTGTGGGGTGGGAGCAGGACGAAGCCGCCCCGCATCGGGCCGTTATCTGCCCTTAACCCCCGCCCGTGCGCAGCTTCATCCCGCAGCATCCCACCCCTCTCTCCTCTGCCAACGAAATGGGGGAAGAATGAGCGATTTCAGCCCCAGCGCTCTCGCGGCCCCGCGCGGCTCCGCCCGGGAGGTGGCAGCACGGGATCGCGTTCAGTGTCACCCGGCCGGGCACCCCCTTGCACCCTTTGGTGCTGTGGATGAATCCCAAATTCGTGGTGAGGGCACGAGTTTCATTTCCGAGCGGGTCGGGGGTGGCAGAAAGCTCGGGAGGTGAATGGGGTGGGTGTTGGAGTTTGTGTGCATAGGGGAGCAAAACAGTTCTGTGCAATGCCTCTGAGCCCCAAATGTAACTCATTCATGCCGTGGGGCACAGCACTGAGATCCCTTTTCCAGGTGGGTTTGATGGGATGGGGCTGGGATACTCCATGCTCCCTATGACCACTCCCAACCCATGAGCACCATCACCCCTGGGTTCCCAGCATCTCTACAGTTTGATGGGCTCAGCATGGCACAACACGTCATCCTTCCCCCCACCAACCTGGGCAAGCCCCAGTCCTGGCACATCCTGACAGAGCAGCTGTCACTTCCTCACTGTTGCCCATCCCACTGCCCCCCATCACCACTTCCTCACCCAAAAGCTCACTCACGTCCTTCCCTGAACACACTGAGCAATTCGCCTCCTCCTTCCCCAGTCCTGGCTGCAGCACCACCGCTCTCAGCCCCACGGACTGGGGGTCTGCAGGAAAGGACCCCCAGGCATGGTCAGAGTTGGGGCTGTACAGTTCAGCTGCGTGCTGCTGGCAATGGCTGCGGGTAAGGGTGCTGCCTTTGGGGGGCTTTGAGGGATGGATGGAGGCATTGCTTTCACAACTGGGGCAAGGGGGGGGGAAGAGGATGTCACCAGCACATGTCACCCTGTCCCTCGCAGGTCTGCAGTGCTGCCATGCCCTCAAGGTGCTGAGAGGGGTGCGGGGAAAGCCGCTGTCCTTCCCGGCGTTGCGCCCCTTGGCTGAGGACATCGTGAGGATCACCTGGATTTCCGAAACCCACAGCACTCACATCGCCGAAGCCAAGCCTGGGCTGAAGGAATTTGCAGTGGATTTCCTGCCTGACTTCCAAGGCCGGCTACGAATCCATCCCCACTTGCTGTCGCTGGAGATCACGGAGCTGCGCAGCGCAGATGCAGGCCAGTACTCTGCAGGGGTAGACATCGCCTCCAAACCCAGCAGCCCCAGGAAGTTTACCTACCGTGTGTTGGTTCTCGGTGAGTGCCAGTGCCCCTGGGGGAGACGTGTTGATGGATCCCCACTGCACGAACCTCCTGACCCCAGCCCGCTGGCCCTGCAGCTTCCTCTGGGAGGTGTGCAGAAATCCCCGTTCCCTTTGTGGTGACATCACCACACTGCACCCAATGCATCCAAACCCGCTAACACCCAAATCCTGGGGGGGGGTGAGGGGGGGGGGCAAGGGATGGATGGATGCATTTTCCCCCCGCAGAGCACTCCCACGCTGACCACATGTCCCTCACACACAGATGACCCCCCTGCGACAACTGAGGGTGACACAGGAGTACACAGCAGGAGCACAGCTGGACCAGGAATGAGATCTGAGCCACATGCTGGGGAGGGGACCACGCCAGGCCCGGGCAAGGGGCAGCCCCTGGATGCTGGGGGGTCTCCGGGGCCATGTGGGGCACAGGGTGGGTACTGCACACTCAGGGGTTATCTGGTGGCTGCTGTGTTTGGCCCACTGGTGGTGTTACTGGTGGCTGTGCACGTGGTGACCAGGCGTTGAGACTGGGGGATGAGTAGAACCCACACTGGGCTCCAGAGGGACAAGAGCGAAGTCTAAACCCACCCAGCACAACTCCACTGTTCTCCCAGGATCGCCGGATTTACCCAGACAGGAAAAGCCACATTCACCCCAGTGATGCCCTATAAGGGCATAAGATGCATTTCATCATCTCTTGCACAAGCCCCAAACCTGGTGACACTGCTTCCTCCCAGCGGCCACACAAACCCCACTGCATCCCAGCGCTCCCAGTCTGGGATCTCCTCCTTTATGGGGTCAGCATCGGATTCGTACCCGCAGCCCCCATTTCGGTGCGAGGTAACAATTCAGCATCTCGTCCAACCTTCCACAGTTTATAAGAAGTGAATTATTTACCGGTGACCCCAACTTAAACGCCACGCAGCATGAATTATGGACGGGAGGATCTGCCAAAAAGTTCTCATAAATAAGTGATCCGGTGCCATCTTCGTGTTCCCAGAAAATCACTCATTCAATCTCCTGTCTAAACGCTCTCCTGGGAAACCTCCTCATGCCTGCTCTGCTGCTTTATGAATTGGGAGTGGGAAGGTAAAGGGCAATGGGGAGGGAGAGCTCCTTGGGACTCCCCCCCCTACATCCATGTCATGTTTAGAGCCCGT